CCCCCCCTCCGCCCAACTATAAAGTGCAAAGCAACCCATCGAAACTTTAGGAATAGAAAAAAGAAAAGGAAAAGAAAGGAATAGGAAGGCTTGACTTTTTTTTTCTTCCTTGGTCCCCTGTACCCTGTGATATTGCTAACCAGCAAATTGGGGCAGTAGGGGAGGAAATGGAAAGTACCAATTTCTTCTCCTCTTGCTGAATCAGTAAGAAGTGTTTTCCTCCCTTCCTCATCCCACCCCATTCCTGTATGATTTCTCTACGCTTGCTCAACATTTTTCAGTAATTCAGCAGACCAGATGGAGTCTGGTAGCATCTTTTCCAGCTAGCCAATTTTATTAAAAAGTTATGGCTTTTATGGCTCTTTGCATCTGATGAAGGGTGCCGCAGCTCACAAAAGCACCTGCCTTTTAATAAAATGTATTAGTTGGAAAAGGTGCTACGGGATACCTTCTGATTTTTCTTCTACCGTAAACTAACACAACTCTCCTCCTACGAAGCGGACCAGATGAGCGTCCTCCATAATGATGCTCTTCCCTCTTCCCAAAGGTTTAGAAGGACTTACCTTTGCCTTATCTTTCAAAATCTCACAAGGAAAGCCTACTGCTCCTTGGATTATCCAGAACTGATGGGAAAATGTCTTGTCAATTAGCATTAGACATATAGGGTGTTATCTCCATAATGACATGTGTCTCCAAATGCACCTAATCCTGTGTTAACCATGGTTTCATTAAATAGTCCCATTATCCTGCCCTGAGAACAGCCACTTTGAAGCCTGTGGAAATGCCTGTCCAGCAACCTGCTCTGACCGTTCTGCTCCCAGTACCTGTGATGATACCTGTGCCCAAATCTGCCAGTGTGATGAAGGCTATGTCCTCAGCAATCACAAGTGCGTCCTGGTGGAAACCTGCAGTTGCATTTACAAAGGCATGAAGTATAAGGCAGGGGAGGAATTCTGGGAAGATGAAGACTGCCAGAGTCGCTGCAAGTGTGATGCTAAATTAGGCAAGGTAGTATGCCAAAAGTCTTCCTGCAAGGCCAATACAAAATGCATTGTGGTCAAAGGCATCCGGGGCTGTCATGCTGTCAGCTACAGCACTTGCATAGGAACTGGAGACCCTCACTATACAACCTTTGATGGCAGGAGATACGATTTCATGGGAACCTGCATTTACCAGATGGCAGGGGTCTGCTCCAAGGATCCCTCTCTCACTCCATTTTTGGTCACCGTGGAGAATAACAACCGAGGCAGTAAGGAAGTGTCTTTCGCCAAAGTGGTGACCGTGGAGATCTACAACGTCACCATCAGTATGAGCCAAGAGCATCCGAAGAAGATCCAGGTATATATGCTAGTCCAAGGAGACATTGGAATGGTTTATTAGTAATAAAAATAAGAGTCATTGCAAGGTTCAGGTTCTCAGGCATAAGAGTTTCATAGGCATTAAGTTCTCAATGTTGATTGGTTCTTGTTCCCGTATGGAGGTTTAGCTATGATTTCTTCAGATCAGGATGGGATGATAGTTGCAGATTGTATACATTTAAAGAGTCAGAAATATGGGACTTGCAAAGGCCAGAGTATTCATCATTCCCTAAGTCAATGCCACCAATATTAATGTTGAAATAGTAAAATAATTTTCTGAATGGCAGAATCCCAAGAGATCATCAAAGTTTACAAGACTCATTAGTCTCATGCAAGATCTTTCATGAGAAGAGCAAAATCACATGTGCTTTCATGGAAAACCCCTGAAATCTCAGTCTAAAAAGACTCTTGGCTTCTGATATAGGGAGGTAAAACACAACGTATTTTCCTTGCTGCAGCTCTTCCAGTGAGAGACCAACTGAAGATGTTACTTATGGAGCCAGCATTCCTCTAGTGTCAAGTCCTTTACAGTAGCTCATAACCAAGAGAGCAAGATTCAAAACTTGAATCTTGGGGAAAAACGTGGAGTGGGGTTAAGATACAGAATTCTGGAAAGTAGATATACGTACTTTGACCCTTATTTCTCAGTGAGGATATGAAAGGCACACCCTTCCTATCATTTTTGATCCACTTTCCAACTGAATCTTGGTTTAATGGGGAGGAAGCTAATCATTTACTTGATACCACAAAAATATCCATCTATTCATGTTCTGCAATATTTTAGAAACATCTACAGTACTTTTGTTCCCAGGCTCAGAGAATTCCATCACAACTAGTGAGGAAATTATTTCAGTAAACAATAAGCTACAGTTTCAAATGTTTTGTGTAATATTTATCAATTATTTTATTTGTTAAACTGTTTTATCTAATGCCAAATTTTAGATTATATTTGCAATTTTCTGTTTGGGTCTTTTGGCCATAAATAAATGTATTGCTATTATATGGTGATGGATTTCTTCCATTCGTTATTTGTCAAACAGTTCATGGAGTGGAACAGGGAAGACGATTAGTCTGAAAAATAACAAGAACAAAACTACTCTTAAGTTTGAAATAATTGTTAGTGCCTTGACTGTCTTCTGTATTTTTATTCAGGTCAATGGCATCTTTGTGGAACCTCCCTTCTCCTATGAAAATAAACTGAGCGTCTACCAGAGTGGAGTCCATGGCTTCGTCAAGGCAGACTTTGGTCTGCAAGTCAGCTTTGACTGGTACAGCTATGCCAGGGTCATCCTTCCTAACACTTATGCCAATGCAGTCTGTGGCCTCTGTGGTAATGCCAATCAAGATCCAAAGGATGACTTTCTCATGAAAAATGGAACACAAACAAAGGATGAGATTCAATTTGCAAACAGCTGGAAGGTGAAGGATATTCCTGGCTGCTCTCCTGGGTGTACCACAAACTGCCCACCATGCAGTGATGCTGATAAACAAACCTACCAGGGTGCACATTACTGTGGGATTCTTACGAAAAAGAGTGGACCTTTCAAGCAATGCTATGATGCCATTGATCCTAAACCTTATTTTGATTATTGTGTCTATGACACCTGTGTATACCAGGGGCACCATGAAGCTCTCTGTGGTGCCATCAGTTCCTATATGACAGCATGTCAAGCTCAAGGCATCCAAGTTGGGCGATGGAGAACACCATCCTTCTGTAGTAAGTCTTCTCTCCTGGATCAAAGGTTTACTTGTCATCATAGATGAATGAGAACCTAAATCCAGTAATAGAAAATGTGAAAATCATTTGTTGAGGAGCCCACTTTATATCACAGTAGCCTTCCCCAACTTGGCATACCCCAGATGTGTTAAAGTCCAACACATCTGGAAAGGTGACAAGGCATTGTTCCAAGACACAGGCATCTGTGATCCAGGATCTGTGATAACCAAAAGCACCAGCCTGAATTGGAGAAAGGAAGGAGGTCCAACATGAAAAGCCAAATTGTACATTAAATATTAAAACAAGAACAGTCTTTCCCCCAAATGCATTAAGCACTACAGTGGTTGTGAATTAACAATGCAACCTGTATGCAACTTTACTGAAGAGAAAAACATTTATGTTTAATAGATGTTAAACCCTCTATTAATCCCCCCACCCCATTTTTAGTTTGTATTTTCAACAGTAATAATGCTGTAATGTATCCTAAACTCTGAACCATTGTTAATGGATACATTGCTTCAGTTCAGTCTTGTGGATTTCTTAAGATGGAAACAGCTATAGTTATGACGGTTATAATAAATATTGATTACCTATAGCAAATGAATGGGATGTAACTGGAACAAGTTTAGTTTAGATTCAACCCATTCTTTAGAAGTTTCATTTTCCATTTGGCTCTACCTTTTCCACCAATTCATCCGAAGAATACATTTGTTTTTATATTCATAGGTATTTTCATGCATGTTCCTCTCCACAGGTGCTCCCTTTCTACTCCCTTTTCCTAGCATGTACGTTTTCTGAACGCAGTCTTTCATAGGAGCAGCAACACTCTGAGACAGGCTTCCTCAGTGTTGGTAAGGGCTGGAATTTCTAGCCAAAACCACCATGTAGTCTAACCACATTAGAGAATGATAGAACAAAGTAGGCTTCTCTAAGAAGTTTCGCAGATTGGATAAGCAACTTTCTCTTTATTCTGTCCTTCAGGTATTTCTTGTCCACCTAATTCCCACTACGATCTCTGCGGCAGTGGTTGTCCAGCCACATGCAAGAGCCTCATCTCAGCCCAAAAGTGTGATGCTCCATGCATAGAAGGATGTTTTTGTGATTCTGGATTTATCCGCAGTGGGGATCAGTGTGTTTCAAAAACTGAATGTGGCTGTTCTGATCAGGGCAGATACTACAAGCTGGGAGAAGAGTTTTATCCCACCACTTCCTGCCTGAAAAAGTGCATCTGCGTGGACAATGCCACCATAGAATGTTACAAGTTCTCTTGCGGAGCTGATGAGGAATGCAAGGTGGTAAAGGGTGTCCAAGGCTGCTACCCCTTAAGCTATGGAAATGCCATTGCATTGGGTGACCCTCATTTCATTTCCTTTGATGGGAGGCATTTTTACTTCTATGGCTCCTGTACTTACACCTTAGCCCAAGTGTGCCAGCACAACCCTCGGCTACAGAACTTCACTGTGCGGGTAGAGAATGAGAAGATTGATGACGGTCCTTTAGTCCTAATACGGAATGTGATGGTCTTCGTTCACGGTCACACGGTAACCCTTCAGAGGGGAATAAAGTGGCAAACAACGGTAGGTGAACCACACCTTAGACAACAGTGTGCTTTACAAAATACAGTCATGAAAGAAGCATCATGTGATGGAGAAGGGCCACATCTATCTGGCCCCACCTTAGAATCATAAGATGGTAGAGCTGAAAGGGATCGCAAGGATTATCTAGTCCAATCCTCTGCACTATGCAAGTGACCAGTCAAACCATCCTCAAGGTGTGGCTGTTTGGCCTCTTCTTTAAAACCTCTAGAAATGGAGAATGCACAATCTCCATAGGTGGACAGTTGTACAGAGCTTATTAGGAAGTTTATTCTTGGATATTTTATGGGTATCTGTCGGCCTCATGGGGTAAACCAGATAGGAATCACAACCAGATGAGCTAATTCTACTTTATTTGTAATGTGACATTGACAGAAGCTTGCAAGTCTGAAAGTACAGTTCTCCCCCCATCTTCTTTACTGCCCGAAAAACTAGGGAAGATCCCTTCTGAGCCTTTTGTCCTGCCCACTATCCAGCTGCAGGCTATGCTGTCTCTTATCTGACCATTCCCTTGGCATGCCTTTTTGCGAAGTCTCCCAAGGTCTCTCCCACATTCCATTACAATAACCATTATCATCTTTGGGGGGAAAGCTTTGGTATCTAGGGTCAGCAATCTGTTTGGAGGGTAAGGGCTACACTCCCCTCTCTCCATTTTATTTGGGCTTTGTATAACTGCAGGGAGCATGGAAATATTGCAGGGATATCTCCCAAATGAGGGGAAGCAGAAATCTCTGCCTTTTTGTTTTCTTTTAATAAAATAGGTGCGTTAAATTTATTAGAGGCTTAACACACCTTTCTGTGGACAATTTTCACACAATCAAGCAGAAAAGCACAGTGTTATCATTCAGCAGTTTGCTGCTGAATGTTATTATCTTAATCTCAGAGGGTTCAGGGTTTACAAAAAAATGGGGGAGATTTGGGAGCTGCGTGAAGTTGCTTGCATGTAGAACATGCTTTCTACTTCTGATGACTTTGCAAATGCATACTGACTGCAAGAGCATGAGAGAAGCTGCACTTCCGATTATTCTTTTCCCAGGGTTGTGAAGGAAAAAAATGTGTTAATCACTGCTATAAAACATAATGTGAAACAAGCATTAATCTCTGTGTGTGTAAAGCCAACACTTATCCCCTATTATTGTTCTTCGTTGTTGGTACAGGTGGATGGACTGTCTTATACCCTGCCAATGAATACAGCTGATGAGAAAATCTGGATCACTCAAGAAGGGAACAATGTCATTGTCCATAGCACCTTTGGCCTCATAGTCCTATATGATACTTCTTCATATGTCCATATTTCTGTCCCCACTACCTACAAGGGGCATATGTGTGGCCTAGCTGGCAACTTTAATGGTGATCAGAAGGATGACTTCATGCTACCTAATGGAAAACTCACTGAAAATGTGGAAGAGTTTGGGGCTTCTTGGAAGGTCCCTGTGAATGGTGTAATTTGTTCTGATGGCTGTGGAGAGAAATGTCCCATCTGCAACAAAGCCCAGAAAACTAAATATGAGGCTGAGAACTCCTGTGGGATGATCCAGTCCAAGACAGGTCCATTCAAAGACTGCCATTCATTGGTGAACCCTGCAGAATATTTTGAACACTGTCTGAACGATGTCTGTGCAAGCAGTGGGGTTCAAGAATCCCTCTGCCAAAGTATTCAAGCCTATGTAGCATCTTGCCAGGCATCTGGGGCCAATATTGGAGCCTGGAGAAGCCCTTCCTTCTGTCGTAAGTTAATAGAAAGTCTTCCCCCAAACTATTTTTCCTAAATAACTAATGATTTGTCTCAAATGCCTTAGCCTATCCTTCTAGGCCTTGTCTTAATATTCTTGTTAATGGCTGTATCTATCCAAATTCACGGCCATTTAAATCCTAAAATGGCGTCTAGCCAAGCCTGGATGCATCCTGGTTCAGAGATTCCAGATTTCTTTCAGGGACTACTTGTTCCAGGAATCCTCCCCTAGACGATGTGATCGCTAGGCATCAGCATTTCATTAGAGTAGTTGAAAACCTTAACCAGAGACATCCACAGGGCAAGAAAAGGTCAGTTGCATGAAAGCAGCATTGTGCCATCACAGTGCAAACTGAGCCCTGTTGTATATCTCTTATCGAGCTGCGTGCATGTCGCAAGGGGATGGAGCTTGTGACACACTGGACAATAATACAATGGCATGATGCTACTTCCATCATTTTGACAAAAGGAGCCTGCAGTTATTCATGACTACAACTTCTTCATCTTACCATTCTTCGCCATTTTTTACCATTTCTGACCATCTTACAATTTCAAGAAACTAGCATCATATTTTTTTTCATTTGCATTTCTATTGTACTATCAGTCAACCATCCCTGTGCCCTTATTTTGGACTGCAAGAAGCTTTGAAAAGGCATGAGTTTAGCTCCCTGTTAAATGGAATTCAGATAAATTTCTCATGAGAAGAGAACAGTGAGTGTTCACCTAAAAACATCCTCCTAACTCACTGTAGGAGAAAGAAAAAATATTGCTTTAAGGATAAGGGAGCACTGTTGCTGATGGTGTGGTAACACTCTTCTAGCTAGAGTTAATTCCTTATCTGTGGTCACCAAGTGGGGTCACCTGTTTTCTTAGAGAATGGCCCAGCCACAGAAATGGAGGCTGCTTAGACAATATGAAAAAAGGGTCCGCAACCCTTTTGGGCCAGTGGGCACATTTGGAATTGTGAGAGCGTATTTTGGACACTAAAATGACTGCCATGGTAGGATGGCCAATCACAAGAGCTCCTATCCTATAAGTTAAACAAAGTACTTAGCTGAAGTACTTACCTGCCATCTTATTTTCTAAAGTTATTCTGAGGCTCAGAGACTTCATTGGAAATACGACCTATACTTGAGACCAGTGTTTGAGGATGCTGGCTTTCCACCCATTTTCTCTGAATTACAAGTACATAAAAATAACATTGGAAAGATCAGGGAGCTAAGGAGGTGCTAATGGACATGTGGGTGGACACACTGTCCTGCCTGAATATCATGTTGGGAATCCAGGATATTTAAAAGTATAATAGAAGGAATGCTTCTGATGTTTATTCTTTATTTGAAACTGGCACCCCACGTTTACAGTTTACAGAGTAATAAACACAAGGCTATCCACATCCTTGGGTTGATGTCTGAAAAGACATAACAGAAAAATCAAAGCTGGTGAGGGGAAAGAAAAAAAAAAGGAAATAAAGGCTTTTTTCATAATGTTTTATGGGTTTTCTAATTTTCTTCTGTGGTTCTTCAGCAACATTCAGATGTAAGCCCATAACAGATGACTCAGTTGCCCTCCTCATAGGATGGTGACTTCTGAGGGGAGGCCTTTTCCAACCAACCTGGCTAATAACAATTGCAGAGAAAGGAGATATAAACTACCTGTACTTTGTTTTTTCTTCTTATCCTTCTGAATCTGTGCAAAGGACATCTGTGCAAAGATCTTTTTGCTTCTTCTGACTTCCACAGCTCTCACCTGCCCGGCCCACAGCCACTATGAACCGTGTACCAGAACTTGTGATTACAGCTGTGCTACCTTGTCTTCTCCAAATCACTGTTCAAGGCACTGCTTTGAAGGCTGCCAGTGTGATGACGGCTACATGTTTGATGGATCTCAATGTGTAACTATGAAGCAATGTGGCTGTATTTACCGTGGAGTCTATCTTAAGGTAATTTTTCTCTCCCTTGATGTGGTTGAGAGGAGAAAAGGATTTTCTCTGCTCAGATGAAGACTAGGAATGATTTCTGACAGACTATTCAGTGGAAAAAAAATAACTGAAAGTGGAAAGCAAGATTTGGGGAAAGAAAAAGGCCATTGCTTGATATTCTGCAGGTCAGATGGCCAAACTGGCAAGGTTGTATAAGCCCGTAGGCTGCCGTATATCCTCATACGATACTTTAACATCCTGACTTCTAAATCTTTTCTCTCTGCAGCTGGATTTTTTAGCTACTGCTTTGATTTTATTCTAGGAATGAACAAATTGATTCATATTATGCCACTTCTAAAGTCAGAAAACAGGATTATTATGGGTGGGGGCACTATCAGGGGGAGTAAAAAAGTTAAGATGGCAGCTGTGCTTCGTTTTGTTTTGTTACATTTGAGCTTGGTATGGACGGGGGTCTGCTCCCCAGAAGAGTGGAAATGGGTGGGGGACACGATCATGGGCATCTGCAGAGGGGGCAAGTCATGCCACGTGCATCATGATGTGATTACACAGACACAGATGATAGATGGATGGCACAGGGCTGGCATACTTGCATCATTGTCCAAATGGTCATTGTGGCTTCTACCCAGGAGCGTCAAACAGTGGCCATTATCTGAACTTGTATGACCCCTCTGCCGATGCCCCTTGTTATGGGTCCTGCAACATTAACTATGTTTCAAATTAAATTAATTAAACATTGGAAAAAGAGAGGGAGGGAAGCAACACTTTTCCTTTTCATTATAATAAACATTGGGACTTTGCTCAACAGACCGGTGAGCACATCTACTCGGAGGGCTGCACGGAAAAATGTATCTGCAAGACCGCAGGCCAGCTCAGGTGTAATGAAAGCAGCTGCCAGATTGGAGAGACCTGTGCCCTTCAGGAGAGTGTGCGTAGGTGTGTGAAGCTGGAAGCAGAGTGCACACTCACTGCCCAAGGCCAGATCACTTCTTTCGATGGTGCCTCAGGGAGATACTCCTGCGGTGGAGTCTATGAAATAGCCTCTCTTTGCGACCAGAACGCCTTCTCCTGGTTCAGGCTGTTAGTGAGCATTGACAAGGACCGTCAGGTTGGCATGGTACCTGGAAGGTCTATCTACTTTTACTTCCCAGATGGATCCATCCTGATTAAAAACCAAGAAAGGATATGGGTAAGTGGAAGTCAAGAGCAAATCAAGAGCTGCCTGGAACACTTAATAGCATTCAGCATACATTCTTTAATTCCTCCCCACCCCCACCCCCACTCCAGAATAGTCCTCCAGATGTTCTAGCTAGAGAATGTAAAGGGGATTGGCTAGCTGATGAGGACAATTCATACTTTACCTTTATAATAACTTTTACATATTTTAATAATAAAGTTGATTTTTAAGTTCAGTAATAACTGAATTAAAGGTAAAGTCTCCCTTGAGTCAAGCTGGATTCTGGTTGAGTTGATGGACATCTCTCTGTTGTACAGAAAAATTTGCCACTGTCACTTCAGAGATGTTTTTTGACTTCTCAGTTGATCTGCAGCTGCAGGATTCTCTGGGAACCCCCCCTTCAATTACTAACCAAGGTTGCCACTGGTTAGCTTCCAAAACTAGATAATGTGAGCCAGCAGCAGCTATAAACTAATGGGATGCTTCAGAAGAGTTGCTTCCTGAGGATAAAACTATGCAGATTTCTTGGCAACTCTATGGAAATGGTGAGATACCTATTATCTGTATCCCGAATGTCTGTCTTTCTACATAGCTGCTGTGTGCAGACATCTGATCTCTTGCAGAGGATTTTGAAATCAGGCTGAGGACTACCTGAGTTGATCAAAGGAAGAAAACAAACAAACATTTAAAAATGAATACAGTGAAGTTTTCAAGTTGCTAACTCTTGTCCTACCTCAATCATGTTTTCCAGGTAAATGGTCAGAGAGTAATGCTGCCATACAAGAAAAGCTCTATGTCCATGAGGAGAATTCAAGATATAATTGTTATTGACCAGGATGCTCAAGTGCAGGTTTATCTCCATCCTGATGGAATGGTGACAATGAGAGCCAAGGAGACCCTCAGAGGAAAGCTATGTGCCCCATGTGGAAACTTCAACAGAGACCATTTGGATGACTTGAAGCTGTCCAGTGGAGAAAAAACAAATAATTTTGATGAAGTTCTCAAGTCTTGGGAGGTGGAAAATTACTAACTCCTTTAAATTGCTCCATAGACTGTTCCATCTGAGCTTGAGATTTGGTCTGAACAGACTATAGCAAAGCAAAATGGAAGCCCAACATTTTGTGTACCACATCTTCTGACACTTGTGTGTGGGAAACAACACTCTTGCATGTTCCAGAGTCTCAGCTTCCCTTTGAAGGTGACCCCTGAACCTCCTGCAAGAGTGAAATGTCAGAATCCCTAAACTCGTTAATAAGACTTTCAGTGGAACAGAGAACTTGATTAATTACTGCATATCATTTCTGGAACATTATGCCTCATCAGGGGGTAATGTCATATCTTCAACTAGGTGGCAGGATAGAAGAGTCTGGGGCCAAGCTACAACCATACAAGTTACATGAGAAAGCTGAGGTCTGCTTGTTACATTATCCTTTGGCTAGTCCCTATAATTGTGATTGACACAAATTTACCCAGTTAAAAAAATCCATCACTGGAGCTATACTTTTAAGTAAAAAACTGTAATTCTAAACAGGTTAGCCTCTGAATCCTGAACAAATATGATATAAATAAATAATACTGCTTATATGTTTTGGCATGTGCACCTATGTGCACATTCTTTACTGTGTGTATGTCATCAATCTCTGCAATGTTGAGATTGTTTGCTTGGATTGGACATGAGGCAGTTTCCAGTGGGACTATCAAAAACTGCCTCTGAATTTGGGTTGTCCCATATGTTTATTTTTGTAGTAAGAGGTCACAAAATAGCCACTCTGGAAGAACTACTGTCAGCCCCACTAGGTAGACTAGACCAGGAAATCAACTCCACAGGAAAGCTAAAACTACTGTTATTGAGATTGGCGATCATAGGAGGATCTCACAAGTCTGATTGTGCTTTATGTCCTCCTCCTCCTCCTCCTCCTCCTCCTCATAGTTCAGTGAATTAGGGAGGCGTCTACCTGAGGCACTTCAGAATGTAATCTTGCTACTCTGGACTTAAAAAATGTTTCAGCCCCTTTTGCCTGGGTAATGGTTCCTGCATCTCTCTGTCAAGGTCATCTCCCTTACTCTCTACAACTATACACTTTAGCTGCAGAATGCATTTGTTTATGGTTGGGTATATTGTGCAAATACAGAAGATGAATTAACTCAGTAAACATGTGTGTTGTATGAAGTCAGACTATGGCTTATCATGCTAGCTTGGCTCAGTAAATATGACAAGAAACTACCCAACTGCATTTAAGCTTAGCCTGGATATAGTGAAGTTGATCCAAGTTATACTTAATTCTAACTACAGCAGTGATTGGTGGGAAAACATTGTCCACCACACTAGAAAATAATAAAATACTTTAAGCAATGCAGGGTTGACTGCAAATCACCCATAAGCTTTGTCTCCCCTACGCTCCTCCCCACACCCTCTCCCCTCCAAATTTCCCACCTGAAATTGCAACTTCACTTTTGTTTAATATTCACTTGTTTATGCAGCACGCAACATTCACCCAATATTACTTCCAGTATTTCTGTGTTCTCACTGATACACGTGCATTCCCCATCAAGGATGCTCTAATTCGTTCAGAGATTTAACTGGTACAAATCTGAAGGAGAAGCAAGTAAGATATTGTTATAATTTCAAAATGTAATAAAGTTGGATCTGATAAAACATTGTTGTTTTCCACCTTTTTTTCAGCACTAGATATTGCTCATACACAGGAAAATGCTTCAACATTTGGTTGATCACACTGACTTCAAAATGACTACAAATTATAAAGCCCCATGTCATTGTAAATCAGTTGAGCTAGAGATCTTTAATAATAGTTCTTATAGGTTGATCAAAGTCACACTGTATGAATTAACTCATCAAGACAATAATCCTGTGCCACACTTAGCCACTCGTCTGTAAATGGCCATGATCTGTAAATAATCTCCTTTGTCTCAATTTTACTCTGACTTTTTTATCCCTCTGTTTCCCCAAACACTGGGTGCATATACTGTATAATACTTGCCTCTGAATAATACTCCATTTAGCAACACTAAATTCTATGATCCTGAAAAATGATCCAGAAGGCAATTTCTGTAAAAGAAGCAAAAAATGATTCAGAATAAAGAATGATCACAGAGGACCCATAGAGGAATAGGGCACTCTTCAGAGTCCTGTTTGGTAAGAGACAGTGGATATAAAATGCAGAGTTATATGCTGGTGTCTGTGTGTCTGTGTGTGTGCGTGTGTGCATACATACATACTGTATCAATATCGATCGATATAGGCTGAGTTTGTACAATATTCCAAAACGGGGTTAACAAGACAAAGTTGACGTAAGCTGCATAGCCACTCCAGAAGTAAGCCACATCCAAATTTTAACATTTCTGCAGTGACACACCTACACTTGCACCTTTGGTAGCTTTCCACATTATCACACCATTGATGATTTCCTCTATTATTTTTTTCTGGAACACTAACACTTAACTATTGGTTAGATAGCATCACTGAAGCAATGAGCATGAAACTGAGCAAACTCAGGGAGGCAGTGAAGGACAGGAAGGCCTGGCGCAATATGGTTCATGGGGTCACCATGAAACTGAGCAAACTCAGGGAGGCAGTGAAGGACAGGAAGGCCTGGCGCAATATGGTTCATGGGGTCACCATGAAACTGAGCAAACTCAGGGAGGCAGTGAAGGACAGGAAGGCCTGGCGCAATATGGTTCATGGGGTCACGAAGAGTCGGACACGACTTAACGACTAAACAACAACAACAACAACACTTATAGCATTTAAGTCAGTTTTTGGGGATATTGTAATCATTCCCATAGAAATCTCTAAAACACTCCTCTAGCATGATCTCTCTTCCGTTGGTTCTCAAATTCTTTAATCACTTTTAATTCCATTCACTCTGTCGGAGACTCCTTGTTTTAGCTTTCTTTGCCCGTTTCCAGAACAATCTATCAAAATCACCTTCCTTAATTAATTAATTAATGCATTAATTGCATTAATTCCATCAAAATCACCTTGCATTTCCTATGTCTCTTTTAATCTTAACTGTTCCTTATTCTCCCAGACTACATTCTTTACCACTAGAAGGCACCGATTGGGGTGTTACCTAAATTAGGCAGCAACCAATTCCAACAACTGGTTCCAGTTTCTCTTGTCTTGTCTCCCATTGGCAATGGAACTGGAATACTTTACCTATGTAACTTCCATTCTCTCTCTTCTTCCCTATCCTCAAGCACAGAAGACCTAGCCTGTGCTTCCTCCCTCTTGTTCTTCAGTCAACTATAAGAGGACTGAAATCTCTTGGACAATTTCATAAAAGGATAATTGTTCCAAGCTTCCGGGGAGTTACTAAAAGAGCACTCTCTGCAAGATCCGCATGTAGTGATAACTGTGACAAATAACTTCAGAGCAGGCACTTAGGGGATCTGCCCAATGTGTGTTGGGATCTGCCCAACATGTGATTCAGAGTTTCACCCTTGGAACTCCTGGTTTGAGCAAGGCCAATTCTCTAAGGGCTTGCTTGCTTGCTTATTTATTTATCTATTAAATTTCTCCCCCACCCATCTTCCCCCAATGGGGGAACTCTGGGCGACTCACACAAAACATTAAAACCATAAATATATATAAATACATAAAACGTCAATTTAAAAACGTTAATAAAAAAGGAAAAGGAGAGTCCAAGAAGATGAAAAATCTGGGGCTGAAGACAGCTTATACTTGAATTATTATCTAAGGAAGACTCCCTACTAGGCTAAGCGAGGTTTTGCCCATTAACTGTTTTGCTATCAGACAACTTCGTGTGAGTAATACGCAAAGATGGGCCTGTTCTAGCTTTTCTTTTCCTGGAAACGTAGCTTGCAAGACTGGCTGATACAACAAGAAAATGGCTGATGAGCTCTTTGGGAATATGGTCTTCTGTCAGCAGGGACAGCAAATTTAATGGCAGTAGAGTTTTCTGATGACTCAGGAATGGGTAGAGAGTGGTGAGGAGCATTACAACTCAGCAGTGAAGGAAGTTTGAAATCCAGAGGGGGAAAATGTCTGTTTGAGGGAGAGAATGGTTTGGGTGATGGCAAGACAAGGGGCCATGATCCAAAACAAGTTGGGAAACCACATGTGTCTTCTTCTGGATAGTAGCTCCTTAACATGTGGTTCCTTAATAAGGTGTTTGTATCATGCTTTGCTCTGATTTAGGGCAAAGTGGTACAACTTTTTTTTTGCATTTGACCTCAGTATGGGTAGGGGTCTACTCTTTGTAAAAATGGGAGGGTTGGCATGATCCTGGGCATCTGCAGGGGGGGCAGGTGATACTGCATGGGTCATGACATTATTGCAGAGATGACATGGATGATGTACTTGTGTTATTACACAAGTGATCCTTTTGACATCAGCAGATTTCTACCTGGAGCCAACTAAATTTGGATTCATTTAAATCAGTGGCAGTGAAATATGTGAGAAGCAATCATGATTCACTTCCCTTTGTCACTTTAAAAAATTAAGGAGGTGAGTGGAAAAAACCGTGGTGGCATGACTCATCCCGCTTACTTAAAGCCAATATGAATGTAACAGAATGTTTGTGCACAGTGAGGTTAGTGATATGGTGGCTTCCAATTCTCATCCTGAGTCATTGGCTATGCTAGTTTGAGCTGATGGAGCCTAGAGTCCAACAAATGTGATGGACTTGCAGGTTCCCTACTCTTAATACTAAGTAGCCTCCTCTGATTTGGTCTTCTTGAGAAGTGCTATGACTACAACTCCCAGACTTTCCAGGCAGCATACCCAAAACTGAAGGAGTTAACAAACCAGGTTAAACAAACCAACCATCATCATCATCATTATTATTACTATTATTATATCAATTTATATAGCCGCCCACAGGCAACTCTGGGCGGCATACAACAAAGCTAAAAACAGTAAAATACATTCAAAATATATAAAACAAAATAAAACAGAGAATAAAAGGAAGTTAAAAATAAGGGAGCCACCTCACTAATTCCCCTATCCCCTGGAGTCCCCAGGCCTGCTGGCTTAATCAAGTCTTAAGGGACCTCCGCAAGCTGACTGATGATGAGGCCAGACTCAACTCAGGGGGGGAGAAGATTCCACAGTGCAGGTGCCACAGCAGAAAAGGCCCAGGCCCTCCCAAATGTATTTCCCTAGGCCAAGTTTGGACAACACTGCCCTAGGCAATGGAACCCATAACATGCCCTCTCTGCTGGATCTGGTAGGACGGGCAGATGAAATCAGGGAGAGACGGTCCCTCCGATAGCCCTTATTATGGCCTTTAAGCCAGAAAACACTGTACAGAAACACATGCATCTGAAATATATAGATATGAGTAAAAAGTAGGCATACATATAATAAAATAATAAGACAATAATATTAATATAACAAAAATAGTACAAATGAGAGTGGCAGCCACCAAGATTAGCACTAATCCTCATTTGTAGGTGGGATGAATAGAAAAAATAGAGGTACAGAATTAGGCAACCTGGGAAGATACATCAAAGTCCTGGTTGGATAGAAGAAGTAGCAAATAAGCATTGTGCTCTCTGCCAGGGTCTTTCTTTAAAATGGGATAGATCAGTGTTTTTCAACCTTGGCAACTTTAAGATATGTGGACTTCAACTCCCAGTATTCCCCAGCCAGCATGTTCACTGCCTCGAGTTACTGATAAAAAAAATAATAATAAAGGTGGGACAAAAGTCTAATAAATTAATAAAAATAAAATAAATAAAATATGTCTCCTTTGAATGGAAAAATTTCAAGACAGCTACGTAGAGCAACAGTTACCGAAAAAGAGAAATGTGTGCTAAGTTCCAATACACCCCAAGATATTTAAAGTGTGCACCTGCTCTGTTGAGGTCCTGTTAATTTGCCATTTATGCATCCTATAGTTATGTCATGCAAAAACTAACACTTCAGGTTTTTTTATAACTGATTATAATTTGTTCTTTTAGGCAGAAGGAAGCCAGTGACCTCAATGTCCTTCTCATTCCCACGTGGGAGATACAGAAATTACTATGTGGTCTACATATAGCAAAACTGGAATTGCCCAATCTGCTAATGTTGGAAAGTGATGAAGAGAAGATGCGAGAGCCTAAATGATTGAACTGATATACTGTTAGAAAAGTAGCATGTGAGAATGCACCCTTGCCTTACCTCTCCTTGGGTGGTAATGGTGCCAGAAAGATGCCTCCGGGGGAACATCTGATCTCAATGAGGTGATAGCCTGAAGAGTCTGGATAAGAAGGAACAATCTTTTATCCATTGAGGATCCCTGTAGTCTTTCTCATAGTTTGTGCCCTGGAATCAGATCAAAATCCGTGAAGACTGCAAAAAGGGTGCCTTTGGCAATTAAGTTGCATTTTTCAACTAAATGGTTCAGGCCCAAACAATGGTCTAAGATGAATGGTCCTCTCTAAATCCTTCCTGCTCCTCAGCAAGGACATTTTCACTGGACCCAATCCAGTGAATAAAGGTATTTTGCATACACAAATAAATTAAATAAAGGTATTTTGCATACAGCTTGCTTTATGTATTAGGGGAATAGGTCTGTTATTTGTAGGGTCAAGTCTATTTCCTTCATTCTTATAGAAAGGGATGACAATGGCCTCGTTCTACTCTCATGGAAAACATGCTGTGCTGTTAACATAAGTTGATAAAGCAGCCAGCACTGGGAGCTGATTAACCTTTATTTTCCTTTTGTAACTCTGAAAAGATGAAATCACCTCCAGGAGCTTTCCCAGGTTTCAGTTGGGCGATGAGATCCTTAACTCAGCTATAGACACAGGTGGCCATTCAGGAGGTACATTACAATGGAGGATCCCACTGGGTTATTTGGTAGTTTTAAGTGGAAAATGCTCTGAAAATAATTCTTTCAAATATCTAGGGTATTTGACAGATAGGACCTGAACATCTCCCCATAAGAGGGCAGTTAACTAGGTGCCAGAACCAGGCTGGGTTCTTGAGCTTGACTGCTGCAATTAATCTCCCCCAATCCTCTCCCAATTCTTGCTATTTCTTAGATTTTAAAAGAACTTTATAGATCTTGTGCTCTCTGAGTGATTGAAAGGAAGCTAATGAGTTGTCAGATTGAAAAGCATATAATACAGTGAGATGGGCCTTCTTTGCATTATAACAATCTGCATCAAAGCAAGGTTTGGATCTCATAGGAAGGGGGCTAGAGGAAGATGATGGGAGTCTAGATAGTAAGGCCTGGAGAGTAAATCAGGTTGAAAGATGGGCCTTATCTCTTGTAGCCCTTTATCTCGCAGCACATGACTCATGTGTCTGAATGAAATAATGATTGTCTTCATGCTAGTGAAGCAGATTTAACATTTCTATCTTGCTTAACCCTGGAAAAGAAAAAAGAAAAAACGAGAGATGCCTATTGCCTTCCAAGATTACACTTTAATCTCACATTGATAGGAAAACACACATGGGCCTGAACTTTGCAAAAAATTGGCCTGATTTCTAAAAGTTCCTTGGAACTTCTGGGAGTGATAAATATATCTGCATTCTATTTTAGCTGAAATTCTGTAGAAGCCCCTCCACATGATGTTGTATCAATTCCAGGATACAATCACAGTCAATCTCTTGCATTTATTGAAGAGCCAAGAGCATGAGTGCCTTCTGCTGGCTTCCTAAAGCAGGCCATTTGGTTCTTCCCATCCTGCCAAGAAATCCAACCCTTGGGGCCATGGAACTTCCCTGTAATTTCATTAGAAATAGGCGTTGTCAGAACTTCTATAAAAAGGAAAGAGACACTAAAGTCAAAAACACAGTGGACCTCTTTTTTCCTTTCCTTCTTCAGGAGCAGTATCGTGAAGAGCTGAAGATAAGAGACTATCTTGGACTATATCTTGGGTTGCTTTCTGGTTGCCCCCCCAAGACCAGTTGTTCATCATAGAGCAACAAGGATCCAGGTAGTTTACTGACTTTTTCCCACCAATGCCTGTAAAGGCTGCTAGTTAGTTCAGGGAAAAAATAAAATATCATCCTTCATCTATAACGGAGGTGGACATTCAGATGGTATAGAACTAAAATTCTCAGCTTTTGTCTTCATTGGCCATTTGGGCTGGAGCTATGAGCAGTTAGAGGACACAGAGTTGGAGGACCATGCATTTCCCATGAATGAATGCACATTTGGGGAGGAAAGTCTGTAATCATCACTTGCTAATTCTCTTTTTCTCTTCATAGTTTTGGGTGATATTTAATCCTAATATTAAGGAATGTTAATACTCTTTGCTGAACAGATATATATGCGTATTGAGACCATGGATCACCATCCAATCTGCATCAGTATTAGGAAACCTGGTTCCCTCCATAGGTTTTGGGTTATCATTTCCATAATATGTTCTTATGGCCAGGTTGGCTGGGGCTGATGGAAATAGAGAAATAGAGATTCAAGGGGGCAGGGGTTGGCTACCACAACAGACCTCTAAAGTTCTGGTGTCTTCATATGCATTCATGTTATTTAAATAATGTGCATTCATATTATTTTATTTCTGTTTTGTTTTGTAGATATGGTGATGAAGGAGATCCTGATCTTCTTGGCCAACGTGGTGCTCTTAAAAGGTGACTAAGCTGAGCTGGAGGAAATCTCAGCTTTTGCTTCTATTTTTTCTGGGGCGGGTGGGAATGCTTCTTCTGTTTCTCTTCTGCTTATTTATTCATGACACCCTGGATAGGATCATATAATATTTTAAGCCAACATGTGCTTTTCTTGTTTGTAGTTGAGCATGTTTTCAGTGCCAAACTGATTGTGGTTTCTTTAATAAACCACAGTTAAGTAAAGCATGGGTTAACATTTTGTATGAACACAGACAATATGTTATCTTCTAGAATATTACTGTTCCAGACACAAACTTTATATTTGGATGTAATGTAATAAAATGTAATAAATTAAATGCCACCAATACAATGTTTCTCCATTATGTAACGATTTTCTCTCATCTTGCATTAGAGATGGTAATTCAGAAAGCACTCCAGGCTCTTGGAGGATTCATTTGCTGCTGTGAAGCTTCAGCTTTATACCTACGCAGTTCATGAAGTAGAGAGACAAGTTCATATTTGGACCTGCTGCTTCAGGCAGTTCCCCAAAGTCTGTTCCCTTCTCAGAGGAGACAGGGCTTTGAGAAAGGGCCTCAACAGAAATGTTGGCAGATCAGATCAGAAGCTCAGAATGGGAATTGGCCAGTTTTATCCCCACCCTAAATTCTTAGGTGGCTAGAACTGGCCTGGAAATATGAACTGCATGATTTTTTAGAAGATTATTGACTTAACTCATATCTGCCAGTTAATACAAACAAGGAATTTGAGGGGGATTTGGTAGGAGATGTGAGACATGAAACTTACTAGTTACGGTTTCTTCACTGTAAATATTCAAAACTACCACCATTAATCTTTAGTGGAAAATGAGACTTCTGAATTTTTTTAAGCCATAGGACTGTCCTGAAAATCATATTAGACACAATTAGACACACACATATTCCTTTTATTTAGGCCATGGTTCAGTGGTATAAGTTCCATCTCTGACAACACCAAGAAATGCTGGAAAAACCCTTCTTTGAAATCCTAGAAAGTTAATGCTTAGTCAATACTGGCCATACTGGACTGAGTGAACCAATGATGACTATAAGGAGAAAACAGTTTCTTGTGTTTGCTATAATTTCCTAAGACAAATAAATTTTTCAGTGTTGGTGGATGATAGAAGTAACCAGGAATAGACAAGAGAACCATTGATTTCCAACTTTGCTCTTTTTGTCTCAACGGCATCCATTTCTTCTGAAATGCCACTATGCTAGAGGTACATGTATTCATTAAGTTCTGCTGTACTGATTCCAGCTCAAGTCTGCACAGAAATCCCTAATCCAGGAACCCTGAAACAGATTCATGCTGGCAATGGGTTTGTTGTTGGTCTGGAGCCAACAGGCAATGTTTTCATGATGAATGGAGAAGACTGGCTCTATCTGGCTGGAGGGATGAAGCATGTAACTTCTGGAGTTGGTGGTATATGGATGGTTGACAACAGTAGCCAGATCTATCGGATGATAGGAGGCAATCTGGAAAGAATACCAGGTATCATGTTATTGGTAAAGAGAAAGCAATTGTGAAATTCTGCTTTTCAACTGGAGTATGGTTATTCTGCTTGGGACTCCTAGGACTTATAGTCCAATATAGCTGGAGACCACTGGCTTGGAAAGCTGCTATAGCTATGTTACCGGTACAATTTGGATCTCCACAGGTAAATACATTAAATGAGATTCAGATTCTGCAGTGTTACATCCATAGCAAATTCTTTTGCAGTAGACACCTGGGGATGGGACGGGGGATCTGTCCATCCCAGAATGAACTGCTGTAACTATTGATCTTGGAGCAAGACTTTATCATCTTCTAGTAGTTCAAGAAAAATTAAACATCAAAATGACTTGCTCCATATTATGCATCACAATTCATTGACTGTAAGAGCAATCAATTTTAGGTTTGACTCTGGAGTGTCAATGATTGAGTTTGTAGGACACTCTAAGCTAGTATGTTCAGCTAACAAGCATGCATATTTCCATGTTACACTCCATTTCTTGTGTTCTTTAACTAGGTTTTGTGATTCTTTTGTCAACCCAGTTTGAAATAGCAACCATTTGATTTTCTGGAAATCAGGGTTTCTTTAGAACTTATAACAAATGTTAGTTATAAATCCTCATTTCCAGAAATCTAAACTGATGGGTATTTGGGGATCAGGTGACATAGTAACAAGATACAAGCTACAAAGTGGAAGTGTGGCAAGGGTGGGGGATAAGTGGAACCCTTCAATTTAGTAATATCATGCCTACATGGCCTATGAAATGGATCCTTCTGCTTGTCTTAGGGGGAATTAGAGATTAAAGAAGCCATTGTTCTCCCTAGTTGTAACTTTGGGTTAATTACTACTTTCTCTCCTTTCAACTGTTATTCTTCTTCTTCAGGGTCATTTAATGAGATTGATGCTGGAGGACCTGTCTTAGTGGCTGGTATTAACTCAGAAGAACAAGCCACTTGTATTTCTAGTTCTGAGCTAAACAAAATGGTAGCAGGCTCTCCTTTACATTGGACCGATATGGAAGGAAGTCTGAAATCCATCGCCTGTAGCTTAAACGGTTGTTGGGGTGTGACCAGTAACAATATTGTAAATTATCGTCATGGTATCCAGCCACAAAGGTGTGAGGGCACCCGCTGGGAGTACATCACCAGTGGTTACTCCATGGTTGCTACTGGGAGTGATGGACGTGTCTTTGCTTTGAAAACAGGATATATTTATTACAGGTAAGGGCTACTAAAAGAAAACCCTTAAGTGTTTTTCCAGGAGTTCTTGTTTCTTTATTTTCCTGTCCCCAATTTGATGGACTCAGACTCCAAAGATCCACCCAAAGCACTGGACCCCAGACCCTTGGATTTTCATATCTCCTTATAAGGGTTGGGGGAGATGTTTCATTGTGAAACAACATCCAGGATGATGTTGAGTGAAATATGAAACTTACAAATCTATATGTGAGTGTTCTCTATTGCCTCTATCCTATTCCTGTTATTTCTATTCTACTAATACTACTGTATACCACACTTTATACTATTACTTCTACTTCTGTGCTATATTATACTATTATTAGTATACTTTTACTAGCATACAAGAGGATTTTACTCTTACAGACTCTGGTCTGTCTTTAAATCCTCTCTCTCTCCCTGGGATTTCTTCTATTTTTTCTTCTTTCTTAATGGGCTGCAGGGAAAGCTCTTCCACCTTCCCAACGTTGTGCTGGGCCGTGCTCTGCTGGGCCTCTTCTTTCTCCTCCTTCCTTCAATCTCTGTGAAGAAAACCCCCCTTTTTATTCAGCCGCTGCCTTTGTTGCTTTATTTGTTGCTGCTTTATTTGTTGTTGCTGCTGCAGAGCCTCCAAAACACACAATCTCCTTTCTTCTCCTCCCATCCCTGTGTCAAAGTTGCAGCTTTACTGGGGACTCTGCCGTGCTGATGCTGGGGAGGCTTAAATAGGAGGGGGAGTCAGCCAGCACAGGGGCCTGCAATTGTTGCTCAATGGCCTGCTGTTCCACACCTTCTTTTCTTATTGTACTATAGCCCAGAATGATCCACTGAAGCTTTGAAAAAACACTGGGCAAATCCGTAGGGAGTAGGGCTATTGGTGTGCTACTCATTTCTTAGCAGGCAAGGACACAAGAAATGAAGCAACAGTGTTTATTAAGATCAGTTTAGACTCACCTCTGACCTAGAACAAAAAGGATCTTAAAATATTGCAAGGAATATATCACTATTCCCTATAACATGGAGAGGTTCAACTTTTGGTCAGTTCCAATGTGCTCCAATCAGTAGCTACTAACCAAGATGACTTTACATTATCTCCAGTAGCAGAGAAGATGGCTGGGTTCCTATACCCACATTAAACCATTGTTAGTTTTAACCATGGTTTCTTGCATAATTCCCAACGGCTGGGTTCAAACAGACCAGATGGTGGCTGAACTCAGCTAATGTGACACTCAAGAACAGTTATTGGAAAAAACACATCCGAAGGTGCATTTCCTGACTCTGGGCTTCCCATCTTCCATTGGATATATGAGCTGATGGATTTGATGAGATCGGTTGATCCACGTGGCTCTGCTAAAGTACTTCTTGTTTATTTCAATTCCTACAGGGATGGGATCACAGCAAACCAAGTCACAGGGAGAAAATGGACCAAAATTAATGGCATCCCTGAGAAGGCCAAGTACTTGACCTACGACTTGAATATTTTGTGGCTGATCACCCTAGATGACAAGATTCTGCGTTGTCAGTTATAGAAAAGCATAGCTGCTGCCTTTTCCCACCCCTGCAGACCGTCTCCTTATTTACTTCTTCTTCTAACTCAGCTCTAAGCTCAGGGGCATTTGAGAAGCTCTCTTGGAAACATTTGCAAGAATAGCATCAGCAATTTTAGCAGAATGAATCCATTTGGATTAATGGAGAATTTATAGCTAGATTCACCCAGTATCCTAAATTGTGATTTATTCCATAAGCCAGAGATGTTAAGCCATAAACTGGGGATGGGGGTGGAAGGACTTGGAGCCAGATATCATATCTGAAAGCCCTGGCTGTCGTTCTGGACCCTTAGCAAAAGTTTTAATTGAAATGAACAATTGTCCTTTTTTCATGTTAACCAAGGGAAATGCTGTTAACTACAGGAAGAATAATACTTTTTGTTTAATACATTTTGAGTTAACCTTTTTTCTCCTTCTCCTGTGTGTATTTTTGCAATATGCCTCCCTGGCTGTCATTGAAAGGTCAGATGTTGCTCTCTGTCCATGAAAAAGTTTTGCACATTTGCCCTAGATCAGTGTTGTCCAAACTTGGCCACTTTAAGATGAGTGGACTTCAACTCCCAGAATTCTGGGATAGTGGACTTCAACTCCCAGAATTCTGGGATAGTGGACTTCAACTCCCAGAATTCTGGGATAGTGGACTTCAACTCCCAGAATTCTGGGATAGTGGACTTCAACTCCCAGAATTCTGGGATAGTGGACTTCAACTCCCAGAATTCTGGGATAGTGGACTTCAACTCCCAGAATTCTGGGATAGTGGACTTCAACTCCCAGAATTCTGGGATAGTGGACTTCAACTCCCAGAATTCTGGGATAGTGGACTTCAACTCCCAGAATTCTGGGATAGTGGACTTCAACTCCCAGAATTCTGGGATAGTGGACTTCAACTCCCAGAATTCTGGGATAGTGGACTTCAACTCCCAGAATTCTGGGATAGTGGACTTCAACTCCCAGAATTCTGGGATAGTGGACTTCAACTCCCAGAATTCTGGGATGCATGGCTGGCTGGGGAATTCTGGGAGTTGAAGTCCACACATCTTAAAGTTCCCAAGGTTGAGAAACAGTGCTCTAGTGGCAACTGTAAGCACTGTGGGTCAGGGAAAAATGCTCAGGCCAGCAAATTGCTGATTTAATCCATAAACCTCGCTCCTTCATTTATCACATTTCTGCTTCCTACTTTTCCGGGTCTTAAGCTGGCTAAAAGAAGTCACAAACCAATAAAAAGCCATTAAAAATTAACCAAGTCAAAAGCAATAGTTAGAAGCAGCAACTCCTAGGAGTGTTCTTTTTCAGAATACTCCATCCCTTTTCCCTTTCCACTCAGTTTTGCATTTGATCAGCACAATAATCGCTCACTCTCAGCACTACTGAGATGGCTTAGTTCTCATTGCTTTATAATTTGTCATTTCTCCTTCACCCTAAGAGGATTTGGTGCATTACGGCAAATCTTAGGGAAAGCTTTATGTCACAGCACCTCTAGAAATGCTACTGTTTAGAGAGCTCCGGTAGACCAGAGACACACCTACAACTGATCTGTAAATAGCAAACTATGTTTAGGGAATAATTCCCTTGCCCTTGAGGTTAAATAGAAAGGGAGGAGCTTGCTGGTACCTTCTGTTCTTTTACATTTCTCTGCAAAGCAGCAGGTGGTTGGTTGTTGGGAAGGAAAGAAAGAAGTCTACTTTGAATGCTGCATAAAATTGCTATCTTACCCTCTCCCCCATCTCCATTCCCTGATATCAATAAATCAAGTGGTTTGTTTGAAGGTATTGTTGTCGCCAGAGGGGTAGGGGTGTAGTGGATTTTAGGATTTTAGGATTTTATTTCTGTAAGTCGCCTGGAGTCACCGTGAGTGAGTTGGGCGGCCATATAAATTGCTTTAATCAATCAATCAATCAATCAATCAATCAATCAATCAATCAATCAATAAAACTCCTTTTGGAAAACTTTTGTATGGAATCTATGGGCTTTTGTCTCTAGGAAAGAAAGAGAATGCAGTAGGTTCTGGGGATTTCTTTCAATGGAAAACATGAACACTGCTCTGGGTTTATGTATTGCACTAAGCAGTGGTTGGATTAAGCATGGTTAACCCCCAATGCTGAGGTTACACAAGATGTTAAGACTCAACAACTCCTGAGCTAATCCACAAACCTGATTTACAAGCCACAATCAGGGAGTGCTAAACATGCTAAACAAAACTAAACCTACCTTATGATTTACAGTAGTGCACGGAATTCCTTCACTAGCTTGCTTTTCAGTTACTATAAGCAAATTCAGATCGGGTGTTACTTATTCTTCTTACCATCCTTATTGCTATTATTATTTACCAGTGTAAAATATTGTCCCTAAACATGGAATTCTGTCTTCCATTGCAGGACAAAGATAGTATCTGCACTGGATAGAAATTTCAAGTGACTTTTTCCTTTCCACTGTGTCCTAATGATGGTGTGAACTGACCCTAATTTATATATTAATATTAATTTAGAAAGATGCATCTTCAGTCCAGGTAGGATAGGCCAGACTTGTAGGAAATAGCTGAACTATGTTAGTTTATGTAAAATTGACTTCCTATTATTACCATCACCAATATAGTTTAATACTGATTATAGACTAGAGTGGGTATGAAACACAGGAGAAGTTTGATGTTGCTATTTTCAGTTTACCCTGTCCTATCACTTGGCCACCTAGCCCAACAATGTCAAGGGTCAAAGCCAACATTTTTCTCATCTCTGATGTCTGCAATCTTTTTTAGTGGTGATAAACCAAATCTGAAATTGAGGCTACAGAAAGTCATTTGTGACCATATTGAGAAATGGTGGCAATGTGTAAGAAGTTGGAAGGACAAGCAGAAGGAAAGACCAAAATATTTTCTTCCATATCATTACTGTGGGCAAATCAAAGCTAACCTTGAGGAGATACAATGTCCTCACTGCTCCTCAGCAGACCTATTATTTCAGGATACTATACTGTACTATAGCCCCTGAGTCAAAGTTAAGGATGGATTCTTAATCATGCCAAACCCTGGATTATTTAACATTGGTTTCTGATACAACTCACAAAACCAGGACTAAGGCAACCTGCATTATTGGGACAGGCACTATACCAGTGGTTCTTAAAGTGGGGTAATTATCCCTAAGGGCATATCTTGGGGGTAATAGACCAATCTGTAGTTGCTTGTTTGTGAGTAAGGACCAGGTGGGGACTGCTGCTAGTGAGACACTTGTGTAAAACAACAAAGTCTGGGTTGGGGGGGGGTGATGACATTATTCGAGACCAGAAAAAGGGGCAAATGGGTCAAACGGTTTAAGAACCACTGCACTATATACAAATATACTTTGTACTAGTTGAGAACAATTTAATTTGCCTAGAGATTTCTAAAATTGTTTCATTGGAGCTGCACTGTTCAAACGAGTTTTAATTTAAATTGAAAAACTAACATAAAGTTGTATGAATCTTCACCTCCAATATTTTTGGCTAATGTTGTTAAATGCTTTCCAACTGTGGAGTCCTTGGTGCTGTCTGAGCTTGGTTGTTTGCTTGCAGACATTTCATTACCCAACTAGGTTACATCATCAGTGCATCATCATGACCAGCACCGATGATGTTACCTAGTCAGGTAGTGAAACGTCTGCAAGCAAACAACCAAGCTCAGAGAGCACCAAGGACTCCACAGTTCAACCCCGAGCTACAGATATTCTCTTCTATTGGAACTTTCAAACTTCCTCAAATGTATTCTTAAGAAAGCTTTTCAGAGTAGCATCAGATTTCACTTCAAGGATTTCTTCTCTGCAGCCACTTCCTATCATCTGATTTCTGCTAGTCATACTCTTCTTAAACTTCAGAACTGACAGACTCAGCCTAGAACAACGGTGGGCAATCTTTCAGTACGTAAGAATTGCACCTTTCTTTTTTCCTGGATGGGCAATAATGCCACTTTGGGCAGGACACTGATGCTTAAACAATGCTTTTTTTTTTTTTTTCAAAAAATCCAAATCATAAAGAACTCTGCCCTCCAAAAAATGCTGTCCCCTCAATAAACTTTAAATCATTAAAATGTGGTTTTTCTATGAAAAATCAATGGCTTTGGGGAAGACAAAATTGGAGGAGGGAGTGCAATGCATGCAGCTTTGAGTTCCTGGAGAAAAGGTGGGACAGACCTCTATCAAACAAGTGGGCAAAAGGGGGACTTAGAAATTCCAAAATGGGGTCCTAGAGGCCACATGTAGACCATGGACATTGTCTCCCCACCATTCTAGGTGATCAGTTGTAAGAATCCCAAACCTCTTTGTTCCTCCTTTGTTATGTTACACCTTTTTATTCATATTTCCCTTTTATATCCCCAATTCTTCTCAGCTGTTTTGTTATATTACAAGTAACTTGTTCTTAGTCACTCTCTTTCCTCCACCCTGTTCCCTCCATCTGGTTCCACTTTCCTCTTTCAAACAATGAACAATTGTTGGCTCTTGGGTTGGTAATGACCAGTGTTGGCCTAAAGATCCCAAAATTCGGCATGGTCCACGTAAATCCTGAATCTTCCTTTACACAAATACACAAATTTGGCTATTATCCCTTTGTTTAACTTGGCATCTACCTCACAGGAATGCGTGGGGTTCTCTGAGCTTGGTTGTTGTTATTGCCAAATTGTTGGCAGCTTGATCATTACACTGGCCTTGCCAGATCCCATCTAGGACACTCCATGCATAACTTCTCTTCAGCTGCATCAGTCTCTTCAAGGGTTAGCCATGGTGGTTGTATAATCTGAGTAAGTGAAAGGCTAATCTGAACAGTGTAGCATTTTTTCCTATTAGTCCCACTGGCCAAACATTTCACAACCAAAGTCATGTCCACTACCCAAGAATATTGACTCCCAAGGGTTGGTTGATATATTTATGTCCCATTCTGATTTAAATCTTCCACAGAGAGTATTCTGGGAATTGCTGTTGATTCCTATAAAAAGGAAAGTGGAAGGAGGAAGCTCAGAGTCACAGTGGCATCATCTCCTTCTATTCACCAAAGTCAATGGACCAGAAGGTAAGAAAATCTGCATTGCCTTTTACTAAATATGTTCAGGAACTCCAGTAACAATAGTTGTTTTTCTGTCTTGAGGAATGCGATAGTCGGTTGCGAGGCAAAATTAGTAGGCACTCCTACTTGCAAACTGTGTAATCCATCCTGGCCTTTGCTTTTAACACAATATTACAATTTGAGATGCGCATCCTGTAACTCTGGGTTGTTGCTTTTGCTCACAGACACCAAAAAAGGGTAACAGTTATATGAACAGGCAGAAATTCAACTAGTGCCAGTCTGCTTGATTTCAAGATAGGGTAACTAGAAAAGATCTGCTGGTTGAATTTCTTTTCTTTTCTTTTCTTTTCTTTTCTTTTCTTTTCTTTTCTTTTCTTTTCTTTTCTTTTCTTCTCACTTACTCTTAAAACACAGGATTCTAACTAGCGGGAGAAAATTCCTTTTGGCAGAGTCTATATGATGAGCCCAAAGGCATCTGAGATCACACATTTTCCTTCTCTCCTTTTTTAGCTCTTAAATTATGGATGAAAATGGTCTCATTTTTTAAAACAGCTGTGGGACCCTAATCTCAAAATGCTGCAATTCTGGCAGAAGCACCTGCTGTGGGGAGGGAGGGGAGGCTCATAAAAGCCAAGATGATGGCTGCAACTTAGTGATTAAGGCCCCCCTTTTGAAATTTTGTTTAAAAAAAACACACACAATTATTTATTTATTTAAATGTATTGGCCACCCAACTCAGTGGACTCATGCAACATGCATAAAAAATTAACTAGGCTTCAATGACTCAGTTGCATCCTGATGGGGAGGGGGGGATCAGGGATCAGGTGCAAGACCCCAGTCAGCAGCAGAGACCGCAGTTTATTAATTAATTTATTAAATAAATTAAGTAAATAATGTATTTCTTAACACCCCCCCCCCAGTTAATAAATAAAATAAACAGCCTGCTCCCTTTATTGCTATTTCTTTCTTTGCTTAAAACATCTGTATCCCACTTATCTGTTATGGTTAAAAACTATACTCAAAAATAATTTAAAACAAGATATTAAAATACAATATACAAAGTATTTACACAAGACAGGAAAATATCACTAGCGCTGTTCCTGTGGCTTCTGATAAAATGGTTGGAGACCGAACAGCAACAAACCATCTCTAATAGCCCCAAACCATTCTATTGGCTAAAAAAAAAATGGATTATTTAAGTTTTGAAGATCTCCAATATACACTCATAAATAAGTAAAACACTCTTCAAATTTTAGGGAACTTTGATAGCATTCATCTTATACATGTGGGAACATTCTGTTGGTCTTACTTAGTATGATCTACCTGTGGCTGAAGAACAATGTCTTCTGGATCACAGAGATTTCTGCAGAACTTAGCCCCTGTTTGCAAATATAGTTGAAGTAATGGCATATGCTATAAAAAGATGGAGAGTCAGTTTGGTGTCATGGTTAAGGCACCAGGCTAGAAACTGGGAGACAGTGAGTTCTAGTCCTGCCTTAGGCACAAAGCCAGTTGAGTGACATGGGCCAGTCACTCTCTCTCAGCCCCAGGAAGCAGGCAATGGCAAACCACTTCCAAAATCTTGCCAAGAAAACTGTAGGGACTTGCCCAGGCAGTCGCCAAGAGTCAAGACTGACTTGAAGATGCATACACACATATAAAAACATTGAATGGCTTTCAACAGCCAGATGTTGGAATGACAGAACTTCCAACAGAATGCAGGACAGAACTAACTGTAGAACTTATTTTGCAGCTTCTGTTAATAGGTGGTCAAGCATGGAGATAATCAACCTCTGGACCATGTTTGGTATATTTTGTGGTGAGTACTCTATATCATCCCTGGAGCTCATTGTTCTCTTTGTAAACAGGACAAGTGGGAATGTAATTGCACAAGAGGCAAGTCATAACATTCTGTGCTCATGTGAATACAAGATTCCTTCTAAGCTTGGCAGAAGATGCAAGATTCCTGGCTGTGGCTTTGTAGAATTCTGGCCAGATCAAAATTGCACTAATCAAGAAATCTTTGGAACTTTCAGTATACTGTCTTCAGTCCAGAGAACAATGCTGTGGTCTTGCTATGCCTTTTTTTTGGGGGGGGGGGGTTGGCTGGCCCTTTGTAAGCTTTGAATAAAATTACACAATCTCAGTAGAAAATAGAACATGTAGACAAGAGGAGCAAACATAAGCAAGGGAAAGAGAACTAATAGATTAAAATAAATAATTGACAGGGACTCTGTAATAAACTACTGACTCCATTGGCTCATAACTGACAAACTGTCTTGGAGATAGGCTTCTTTAGTAATTGTTCTTCATCACTGTTATTATAATAGTATGTGGGAAAGACCTTGGGAGACTGGGCAAAGAGATGCTGCCTAGGGAAGAGTTGGATAAGAGACAGCCTAGCCTGCAGCTGGATAGTGGGCAAGGTAAGAGGTTCAGAAGAAACCCACCCTAGTGTTTTGGGCAGTAAAGGAGATGTGGGGGAGGGGGAGAATTGTACTTTCAGACTTGCAAGATTCTGTCGATGTAGCATTACAATAAAGTAGAATTAGCTCATCTGGTTGTGATTCCTATCTGGTTTACCCCGTGAGGCCAACAACAATCTTGTATGAAAGTACAATTCGCCCCCACCCTGGTCTCCTTTACAGCCCAAGAAACTAGGGAGGTTCTCTTCTGAGCCTCTTGCCCCACCCACTATTCAGCTGCAGGCTCTGCTGTCTCTTATCTGACTGTTCCCTAGGCAGCATCTCTTTGCCCAGTCTCCCAAGGTCTTTCCCTCATCCCATTATATTTATAGGAATAGACATCTTACATTGACCTGCTCCAAGTCATACAGTGATCCCCACTGGATTCCATCCCTTTTTAGAGCATCTTTCTTGACCTTTTTCAACAAATGGCCATTATATCCTCCATACCTCCAGAGAACATAGGCATGCCTGTTTTAAGATTATTTTAAAATGTCATAAAATTTTAATCAATTCTATTTTTTCCTACTTAGGAATTTTGAGTTGGCCTGCCTGGATCATGTTAAATGTCCTCCCCATCCCAGTTTCCTCAAGCTCATTAGGAAAAGAATTTGTCACTGCATTCATGCAAAATGGTTTTCCACAAAGGTTCCAGGGAAACTTTAAGCTTCTCATCACAGGTTCTGTTCAGTCCACATCTGTTACTATCTCCATGAAACAACCCACACTGAGGGTAACAGTCATCGTGAACACTGGTGAAATAATGTCAGTGAAAATCCCACCAGAGGCTGAGATGGTTGGAAGCAATATTTTTGACAATACACTCGTCATCAGGGCTAACAATGATATCTCCATCCTTTCCTTTTCCGACAAACCACACTCAACTGACACCACTATTGTCTATCCCATAACAAGCTTGGGTACTGAATATTATGTTATTACACCAAATGTGGGTACCGATCAGTACAGACAATTTGCCATTGTAGGCTGGGCTGAACCCACAACAATTGATGTCTACCTGAAAGGTCCTGTTACTTTCCAAGGAAAAAACTATTTACGAGGAAGCAAGTTGACCATTTCACTTCAACCTTATCAGGCTGCTCAGTTCCAAGGCCAGGTGGACCTCTCTGGTACTAAAATAGTCTCCCAGAAACCAGTGGCTGTCTACAGTGGACATACATGTGTCTCTAGGCAAGTCCAGTGTGATCATGTCCTTGAACAGCTTTTGCCCGTTTCCAGCTGGGGCACTAAGTTCATCGTTCCCTCTTTACCTTTTAATACAGAGTATGACATTGTGTATGTTTCTGCTTCCCAAAATACTTATGTTGATGTTCAGGCCGGACAAACCAAGAATGTCAGGAATTTGCATGCTGCCCGGGTAGCATACTATGGCATTCAAGGCACAACTGCAATGCCCATCACAGCTAGTTCTGGCATCCAAGTTATGTTTTTCAATGATGGTGGCACCCTTGGGAATCTTAAATATGATCCATTCTTCATGGCAATACCTGATATCTCCAGCTACTGTCTGGCTTATAACATCTATGGAGATAACCAGTTTGAGAATTACGCCCTGATCATTGCCAAATCTTCAGAGATTTCTGGGATCACTGGGAACAAAAGGCCATTGCAAGGTCTGCAATGGAATCAAGTTTCTGGCACCGATTACTCCTGGACTTCCCACCACTTAGACCGAAGACATATCATCTACACAATAGAACATCCCAACTCCCCCTTTGGGGTGCTGAGTGTTGGAATTGGAAATGGAAAAGCTTACGGTTCTCCTGCTGTTTGTGCAAATGGTAAGATGGAATTGCTTCTTCCTTTCTTCATGACCTTGAGTACCTCTTGACTGCATTCAATCAATATGTTTAGCCAACTGAGCAAAACAGCTCTAAAAGATGCTTTTGGACAACATGCTAAGCTTGATTAATATGAAACTTGGTTAGGCTTTTGGTAGTTTAGAATTTTTATTACATGAATCCAACCCATTTGGCTGGTTTGTATTTTAAAGTATTGTGCAAACCCAAGGAATGGATTAACCCAGTAATCAGAGGAAGCATATTGTTTTAAAGCAGCTTTCTTTCTTCCTATAAGTGACCTTTGCCTAACCTGATGCCTTCCAGATAGGTTGGGCTACATTCTTATTATTCATCCTATATGTGGAAGGCTTTTTAATCAATCTCACACATATAATGCAATAATAATAATATAGAACATATAGCAGAGGAGGTAGGCCATTGTTGAAAAGAGGAGATAGGGCTGGGGAACATTTGATTTAATCCATCCAGCTCTTTCCCAGATCTTCAAAAACTCCAGAAATTATTGCTGTGCCAAGTAGTGGAGGTGTATGCCACTGCCTGTGAAGAACAGGGCATCCTCATTAATGAAGGGAAAATGGCATCTGGTTGTGGTCAAGAACAGACTGACCACAGGACAAATGAGACAGCTGGTGAAGGTGAATGGAACCACCATAAAGGGAGGAGAGGATGCAATGCTGCTGGTTTAAGAGATTAGGAATGGTTGGATTACAATGAATTAGAGACAAGAACAAGTTGAGGGAAAAGCTTAGTGCAGGGGTAGAGATCCTGCAGTCTTTGGCCTAACTTTGTTCTAATATAATTTCATGTGCCCTCAACAGAAAATAGGTTCACTCCTGGTTAACAAATTCTGGTAAACTGCAGTGAAGATTCTCTCTCTCCCCTCTTCCTCCCTCCCTCCCTCCCTCCCTCCCTCCCTTTTTGTATTATTGCAGAATAAAACCCATCCCAAGACATGCATGTCCTTGAGGATAATCGATGGCAGAGCCACTGAAAATGTAACATCCCATAATCTGCTGTAAAAGGCTCAGCAGGAATACTTTATGTCACGATCCTTGGATATGCAATACCATAGTGGGCAAATGCATGATGTAAACTGCCAGGGGTAACATCATTTGTAGCCTCAGCTTAAGTTCTACTTCTGATTAATTTATTCAGAATGCAATGTGATCGCCCCTGGAAAGACATCCAAGGATACCTTCCCACCAAGGTCAAAGATAGGATTCTCATCTTGGGGGGAGGGATCCAACAGAAGATCCCTGTTCCCCTCACCTTGCGAGCTGGGACACTGGAGCCTGAAAATCTTCCAGAGGGGATCCGGATCAAGCTTGGATGGGAGGGAATCAGGATCCAAAGGGGTTTAAGACCTCCCTCAACCATCTTTATGACTGATCTATGATTGGGCTAGCTAAGTCAAGCACTCTCCCAGGGAACAGCAATATTAAAAGCAAGAAAACTGGATGTAGGGACACATACATATTTACAACTTCTATTCTGATTTCAGAGTCTCTCTTAGAATATATTTTTCACCCTCTTCAAAAATGTTTGCAGTGATTATCTACATCTGGACTAATCCGTGGTTTAACAGAATGGTTTATTAATTATAATTAATATTATGTAACCTCCCAACAGCTCACATCTGCCCAGTGAACAGCCACTATGAAGCCTGTGGAAATGCTTGCCCAGATACCTGCTCCGAACCATCAGCCTCCTTCTCCTGTACCCTGAATTGTGTGCCAACATGCCAGTGCAACAATGGTTATGTCCTCAATGGCAACCAGTGTGTCCCTATTGAAAGCTGTGGCTGTGTCTACAATGGCCTCCATTATGAACCCGGAGAGGAATTCTGGGAAGATGAGAATTGCCACTCCCGCTGCAAATGTGACCTCAGCCAGGGGACTGTAAACTGCTGGAAGGCCAGTTGCAAGGCCAGTGAAAAATGTACCACGGTTAATGGTATGCACCACTGCAAAAGGCTGGCTTACTCCACCTGCACTGGAACTGGAGACCCTCACTATACCACCTTTGATGGAAGGAAGTATGACTTCCAGGGTAGCTGTGTTTATCAGATGGCTGGGGTCTGCTCTAAGGATTCCCCTCTTACCCCCTTTTCAGTGACAGTAGAAAACAGCAACCGAGGCAGTAAGACAGTGTCCTTCACCAAGGTAGTGACTCTGGAGGTCTACAATGTGACTCTCAGCCTGAGCCAAAAGCATCCTCAAAAAATTCAGGTAAAAAATACTAAAGAATGGGGAAGCTAAAATAAAGGAAAGCGTATGGCTTGGATTACCAGGGGTAGAGTGTTGTATGAGCCAACTATGAATGTATGAGTCTGCAACTTGATTGCTACACCAGAATGGAGATCAATGTATAAAACAAAGCCTCCCTCCCTCCCTCCCTTCTTTCTGTTAGGCAGATATTTTCTTCTTTCCAACATCTTTTGCTTCACTTATTACTACTACCTCCTTAATGTATCCTAATCTTCCTGAACTTGCTCTTCAGTGGCTGATTTTCACTTCCTTGCTTGAATACTGCTGTAATATTTCATCTTTGCTATGTGGAGCTACATCTCTTCAATGGCCAGGTCAACCAAAATGTCATTTGCAGTTATGTTTTTTTTTTAAATTCTCCTGAGAGTTCATCATTTTGGTTCTGAAAATTTCCAATAGACAAACCCCTTAAATTCTGTGAGACTAGCTGGGTACTGACTCTAATAAAGGGGATAGTAAACTTTCAGGTCTGGCATCATCACCTAATTTCAAGAAATAACTTGAGCACCTCCCCACCTCCACCCCCATAGTCCCCCAAGCATCAACTTATTTTATAAAGCTTAGCTTGTAAAAAGTTACCTAAATTCACTAACAAAATAACTGAAAATTCACTAAAAAAACCTTGATCTTCCCTGTTTCCCAGGTCAATGGAGTCTTTATCGATCTACCCTTCTCCTATGAAAATAAACTGAGCGTCTACCGGAGTGGAGTCCACGGCTTCATCAAGACAGACTTTGAACTGGAAGTCAGTTTTGACTGGTACAGCTATGCCAGGGTCATCCTTCCCAACACTTATGCCAATGCAATCTGTGGCCTCTGTGGTAATGCCAATCAAGATCCAAAGGATGACTTCCTCATGAAAGATGGAACACAAGCTAAGGATGAAATTCAATTTGCAAACAGCTGGAAAGTGAAGGATGTCCCAGGGTGCTCAACAGGATGTACTACTAACTGCTCAATCTGCAAAGATGAGCAGAAACAAATCTACAAGGGGGACCAATTCTGTGGCATCCTTATCAGAAAGAATGGGCCATTCAGGCAATGCTATAAGATTCTTGACCCAACATCCTATTTTGATGATTGTGTCTTTGATACCTGTGTGTACAAGGGCCATCATGACACTCTCTGTGGTGCCATCAGTGCCTACGTGACAGCCTGCCAAGCTCTGGGCATCCAACTTAAGCAGTGGAGATCAGCTTCATTCTGCAGTAAGTGTTGCATTCAGGTATTATAAACAGACACATCTGCTTTTGCAGCAACATGTGCTTCTGGCCTTTCAGAATAGGATGTTGGTGCAGAAATCAGATCTGCTATATGGTACTTTTAGGGAAGTTGATTGGACCCTCTCCAACTCCATTAAAATTCAAGTATTTCTTGAAAATCTTAATTTTCAATCATTCCATTGCCAAAACCTGAAGCATTTATTCAGATTACTTACTTGGCTATTGAAGTATAATGTTCAGCTAACATGGAGACTCGTTCTGAGCTTCATTAAGAAAAGTCTTTAATAATCTCTTTCTTCTGTGCATTTTTCCTTCCTGGGTGTCACCTTCCTGCAATACCTTGCTTTTATTCCACAATCTTAAATCTATTACTGCCCATCAGCTCTTATTCAATTTGATGAAGGAGAATTTGCTTGCAAAAATTATTTGAAAGGAGAAGAGAATTGGGTTACATTCTTATGGCCAGAGTGAGTGTGGCATTCTTGCCCATATTACACATACTAGTTACAAAGACGGTATATGAAAATCCTACCTTTCATTGTACAGTCATATCTCTAGTGGTCTGAAGCCTCCTTAGCTTTCCAGATTTCCCTTAAATCCCAATGAAATACATGAGACAATTCCCTCCATGGTTTTTTTTTTTCAGATTGGGAAGTATGTATGGTATGTATGGGAGATTTCAGAAGTATGAAGAAGGAATAACAGTGAACCACATAAGGAGTATCTATCTATCTATCTATCTATCTATCTATCTATCTATCTATCTATCTATCT